TTCTGCTCTATCATCTCAGGCAGTTAGGTTGACAGCGAAAGATTAAAAGCTACTGCCTGGCATATCCTCTGCATTATAAATTCTGTTTGATTCATGCCTCTTTCTTTAAACTTCAATTCTGTCTCATTCTCAGATGTGCTGTGATTTAACTTCTGCGTTTAGATCCATTCCGTTACATAGTTCTTTTTCTTTCTTTTTTATTTTTAGTATTTTAAATTCATTCCTGGCTTGTTATAATATACTGTTTTCCTACCTAGAACTTTAAAAAATATTCTCTCTGATATTTTAATGCTTTTTTTAAAATTATTTTTAATGCATTTCCACCTGTTAGAACTTTCTTTTAATTTTTCAGCCCATCACATGAAAGGTAGAAAATTCATATCCCCGTAAACCCTCTTTAGTCTCCGGAGTTGTTTTGCTAACCGACCCCTTCCTCCCATTGTAATAGGTTATATATAGATTGAAGCGCAGTGGGAATGATAAGGAGATTGTAGCTTAGTGATAAGTAGCAGGAATTTTGGTGTCAGACAGACTTGGATTTGAATCCTGGCTCCAACTTTTTCTAGTGGTGAGACCGTAAGCAATCTGTGTAGCCTTTCTGTGCCTCAGTTCCTTAACCTGTAAACCCTGGATAATAATACTGAACTCACGGTGTCGTTTGAAGATGAAATGACGGTATGTGTATAAAGAGCATCTCGATATAGTGCATAGCCTGGGAACCACTCAGAAAATGATAGTTTGTTTGGTGTTGTTGTTACATCCTAAATGTTGTAGTAGTAAAACCGTTAACTCCACGTGACACCACGGTAATGAAGGCACATATCTGGCCCAGAAAGGCTGAATTCATTGCCTTAGCGCTAATTCTGTCTTCAGTGGACTGTATATTTCTTAACTCCAAAAAACTTTTTTTAAAGAGGGTACTTCATTGCATAAACAATTACGGGTATGTCTTCTATGTAGGCACCTGGGTTTGGCTTTCTGGGGGAGAAATAAAACCTGACCACAAGCCTCAAGGAGCTTTCAAGCTGGTTCAAAGCCAGCACTCAAACTCAGCTATAATGTAATATAAACAGATCATGTCCTGGAAAATTCTCAAAGTGCTGTGGGAAGTTAAACAAGGCAGTGTCATCTCTCCCCAAAGATGTTCGAAACCAAACCCATTTTCCCTCACTTCTGGAGCCTGAGTGCTTCCGCCTGCAGTGTTCCCCGAGTCCACCAATGGGTGCCACCACATGTTCAGATCCCAGCCAGGACTCTGAGAAGGAAGCTCTGTTGACCACACCCTCTCCTTCCCTTCTGCTGCCACAAGGCTCAGCAGATTCCGCCTCCTTAATGTACCCAGATCTCTCCATTTATTTTCACTACCACGCACTTCATTCTGTGGTTCTGAAACCGTTAAGCCGTAGACTCTCCTGGTGGGCTTGTGAAAACGCGGATTGATGGGCCCCACCTCCAGAGTTTCTCCTGATTCCGTAGGTGTGGAATGAGGCCTGAGGATCTGCATTCTTGTTGGACACATGTCCAGTTGATGCTGATGCCGCGGGTGTGGGACCCACACTGAGAAGTGATGCGTTCGTGACCTCATCATTTCCTGTTGGGATTACTGCCATCTTCGCGGCTAAGCTCGCTGCCTCCCTAAACCTCACCCTCTTCTTCACATTCTCCACCTGACCTTAGATCTGAGAGAAAAAAAATCCCTTCTGGCTGTTGACTGCCCAGAGGATAAATGTCAGAATCCTTCATGTGACCTGCAAGACCCTCAATTACCCAGCTCCTACCTTCCTCTCTAGTTATCTACTGCCTTGCTGATCCCATGCCTGACCTCCTGGCAGTTTTAACATCCGTGTCATTTTTGTGTTTTGTCCTTCGCATCCACTGTTCACTCTGCCACGCTGCGAGTCCCTTTCTTCACCTGTTAACTCCTATGGGTCCTTGCAAACCACTTAGAAACACCTCCGTGGGGAAACATCACCTCTCCATCTGCAAGCAGGGACAGGTACCTCACCTCCGTGCCTTCTACCCCATGGTGATTATCACATGATGGTCCCTGCCTTCTCGTCCACTTCTCCCCCAAGACTCTGAGCTTCCTGAAAGCAAGAACCAAATCTTCTGTCTCTATAGCCACAACCCGGAGTGGCACATTGCCTGACAGAGTTGGAAATCAACGGATGGTGAATGAAAGGAGACATCCAGGAAGGCTACTGGGAGGAGGCGGGCATTTCAGCCAGATGTAAAAGTGATTAGGATTTGGACATGCAGAGAGAAGAGGAAGAACATTCTATAAGAAGAATCTTGAGCCTGAGCTTGGACATCAGTCTTGGACATGGTGTGAGGAAGGAATATGGAGGAGTCTAGTTTGGCTGGCCACAGGATGTGGGGTCTTGAGAGCCAGCGGAGGGAGATAGTAAAGACAGAATTAACATGACTCAGCAAGGGATTGAATATGGGAGTTCAGGAAAGACCCAGATCAAATGTGAGGATATGGAGAGTACCATTAACTGGAAAAGGAGTGAAGGTGGGTGAAGATCAAGAGTATGGTTCTGGCCACAGGGTAGATTTGGGAACATCATTAGGACACATTCCACTGTCTTGTCTTTATGTGTCTTCCCACTGATCCTGTTCAGGTTTTGATGTCCAGGGCTTAGTAAGCACCCAGTAAATGCTGAATGAATGAATGCAGTGGATTTAAAATAAAGGCCAGCAGTGGTTCTGCATGAGCCAAGGAAAAGGAAACTTAGTTTCTTTGATAATTTTAGGTAGTGCCATTGCCACCCATGCAGATAAGAGTCGAACGAGAGAAAAGGCAGGCTGCTGGCAGTAATGGGAAGACCAAGAGGGAACTCAGGTGATGGCCAGCGGGGGCTCAGGAGACAGTCGCTTGTCACTAGACCTGGGGAAAGTTAGCGTTTGTGAAGACCATCGTGTGATACCGTGAACCTGATGTCTTATGGTACCTCACGTGGGTTTTCCTATTTGGTGTGTGGGTCAAAAATGCATGAGAGCTGAGAGGTACTCTCTGACTTCCCTGTACCAATGCGATAAATGTGAGCATTAGTAACCTTTATTCTTTGTTTAAAGATATGTCTTGAATGAGTTATGCACTGTCACTGCTAATCCATTTTTCCTCGTGAAATAGACAGCTTTATGACTATTATGACACTGTTTTCATAATCTAACCACTACTGTTCTTCCATTAAATTTAACACATTGACATGTGTTTAGAGAATGTAATATAATGTTGAATATGTGAAAGAAACGGGTTTTCTTCTGACCTGTTTTTCCAGTCTTGTGCAATGCTACGATGCTTTCTCATATTATTCTTATGTGTGCAGAGAAATGTCTGAAGAAAAATCATCTAAAGACTAAAGCATTAAATGGTCTTTATATTAAACATCCACACAGTTATGCTTCTAAGCAGACATCCTCAGAGATCAGTTACCTTTGGTTGTGCTTTCAGATTTTTACCTTTGATTGTGGTTGTGCTTCCGAATCGGCGATTCTACCGGTAGATCAACAAAAATCAAAATTTACAGTATGAAGGAAACCGAAAGTTTTATTACCGAAAACAAGCGCTGGGGCATGCAGGGGGGATGTAGAGGGTAAACAGTAGATAAAAAGGCAGGATTCAATTTCCTTTTACGCTCAAGCCTGGGGACAGGGAGACCATTATTTACCCGTGCCTGCCACTGACGAACAGAAGCACTGGTTATGAACTGCAAGTCATTTACTTCTAAAATTCAATTTCATTTCTTCAAACAGTCGTTGTGAGCAGGAATATCTAATGAAAGGGTTTAGGCAACGACGTCCTCATGTAACGATCTGTAAGTCATGCACTTGTTGGAATTAATTCATTTAAGAAATATTCATTGGGCATTTCGGTGTATGTCAGCCCTGAGCTGGACAGGGGGGAACAGGGCAGACCAGGTTTCCTCTCATGCTTGAGACAAACCTGGGGTTCCAGACTCTGATTTTTTAATTGTTATTGCTATTATAGTTTACACATGAATGACCGTTTTTGTTTCCAGTTTTCAACTTGAACTATTTTATAAAATGTGAAGTGCTGCCCTTCTGATGTCTATCCAAAGTAGCAATTTTCAATGTGCTTCTTAAAAATTCCAGTGTGTCAGCTTTGATGGGGCAAATTAGAAAAGCTAAGGAAAGTGGAATTCAGGAAGTCAGGGAGTCATAAGAATGTTTGGAATTTCTAACAGATTTTACTAAACATTTTCTGTATCATGACATGTTCCAGAAGACCGTAACTGTTAGTTTATACAAATTAAAACTACTTTTTGCCTTGCTGATAACTGCAAATAAATAATTCAGATGACCACCCACCAAAAAACCGAGACTTTGTGTGTGTGTTTGGGGCGGGGCGGGGGGGGGGGGGGTGTTTAATCTAAAATACTACAAATGAACTTATCTGTTATATCAAACAGAAACAGACTCACAGACATAGAAATCAGACTTGTGGTTGCCAAGGGGGGGGGGGGGGGGGGGGAGGATTGTGTGTTTCCTATGAAATACTTGCTTTGTAAATTTTATAATCAAAGAGAAAAATAATGAAATATTGCCTCATTTTATTCCCACTTTTCAATTCTGCAGAACTTGTTTCAAATACTTCTGTATTTCCCAGTAAGATCATTATAGAAAATGTAAAATAATAACCTGTCTTGATTTGCCTTTAAAGGAGGGGATTAAAGGCATTTTCTCATTTGCATGTACAGCAACAGGCTGACTTCTCCAGCTAAAATTACTTAACCTGTAACTTTGTGTTCATGGTGGCAATCAGCTAAATTAAATACAGGACTATACATTGGGATAGCTGTGTTTTATTTAGTAAGAAGCCTTATGTAAAGTTCATAAATGTTGCACAAAACACAGCTGTTTGGCCCTGGTCCAAGAGGTAATGAGGATCAAAAGAGTAGGGGAGATAACCTTTAGCTTAATATAGCTTGGTAAATTAGATCCTATATATGCTAATTTTGTACTTTTTTTAATAGATGGAACTGATTAAAAATATAAGTACTGCCGAACAGCCCTATTTATTCACTCGACATGTTCATTTCCTCAACTTCTCAAGGTAAGATATTTTCCAGTTTAATGGTTCTTTCGTTTCTTTTCAGTACTTAGTCTCCTTCTAACAAACAATTACTTTAAAATCTACCTTCATTTCCAAGGTAGTGTAATTGCCCTTCAAAAGGCATTTTTAATCCATTTATTTTTGCTGTAGAGGGATCAAAATTTGAAATATATGGACAGAAGTTCATTTTTTTCTAGAATACTAATCTTAAATCTTGTGGAAACTTGAAATTATTTTTAATGAGAAGCCGTTTGACCCGATAGCTCTCTCTAAAAAAAAAAAAAAAAAAAAAAAGAAAATTAGGTTTTGTATTGAAACAAAATAGGCAAGAGATGGATATTTTAGCAGACATATTTCATTGCACATTTTTATACAATTTGAACTCTCACGGGACTCTGGCATTAACTTAGTGGTGGAATTATGTGTATTTTATAGGGTCCAAAACGTTAGGACCAGCCTCTCTACCTTTTTTTTTTTTTTTTTTTTTTTGGGCCTCTCACTGTTGTGGCCTCTCCCCTTGCGGAGCACAGGCTCCGGACGAGCAGGCTCAGCGGCCATGGCTCACGGACCCAGCCACTCCGCGGCATGTGGGATCCTCCCAGACCGGGGCACGAACCCGTGTCCCCTGCATCGGCAGGCGGACTCTAAACCACTGCGCCACCAGGGAAGCCCCTCTCTACCTTTTTAATACTCCATTTGATTACTCTAAGCCTTGCGTGTTTGATGCTGGTGGGTATTCTAGAAATCTGCTTTTTTCTTCAGCTGCAGGAACCTTTTGATAACAATGCAAATCTTTGAATTTATGTGTTTAGACCCTTGACCTGTCAAGTTGCTAACTGCAAGTTCTGGGCAAGTTCCTCTCTTCCCCCGGAATCCATTAGCACAGGTGGCCTCGTCACTGTGCTAGGAGTTCTCAGATTCCTCCTCGAAGGCTGGCCTGTCTGAGCTCACAGTTGGTGTGGGCTGACAGAGCACTGGGTCCAGGGGCAGATCTGCTGACAAGCCCGGGACCCTGGGCCTCCCTCATCAGCCATCTGACCGGCACTTCCCTCCCTGCTTTTCCCACAGGGATAACGGGACCTCATAGGACCGCAGGAGAGTCCTGCTAGCTGTGCTGACTTAATGGCCCCGTGGGCCGGGCCACCAGGGAGGCCTGAGTTTGCACTGGGCAGGCACTTTGGCTGCCCTGCCCCAGGATGCCTAACAGTCTGCCGGGGTGGGAGAAGGTTTTAGCCTTCAAAGCACTTTCCTGCTGTGCAGCAGGCCCTGTGCAAATGAAGTGCAAAGAGAATGAGATTCAGCAAAGCAAGTTATTAAGCAGCAAAGGGAGTTGCTGCCTTATCTTTGAAAGCAAGTTTCCTCTGAAGTTTCCCCAGCCTGTCTGATACCCAGGGTCCCCTCGGGGTGGTGAACAGGTGAGGAGGACACCTGCGGATTACCCTCAGTGGCCCAGGGGAGCTGCATGGGTCTCCAACCACATTTCTAAAGTGGCTTGTCACTGGACTGTTTGGGGTGCGTACCTTGCCTCTCACTTCCGGTGGGCCAAGAACATATAATTAGACATAATTAGATAACGAGGACTGGGTAGCTATTTCGGGCCTTGTGGTTTTTGTTTTGTTTTGGTTTGGTTTTGTTTTTTTGCGGTACGCGGGCCTCTCACCGTTGTGGCCTCTCCCGTTGCGGAGCACAGGCTCCGGACGCGCAGGCTCAGCGGCCATGGCTCACGGGCGCAGCCGCTCCGCGGCATGTGGGATCCTCCCAGACCGGGACACGACCCCGCGCCCCCTGCATCGGCAGGCGGACTCTCAACCACTGTGCCACCAGGGAAGCCCGGGCCTTGTGTTTTATGACTTGTAGACGGCAGAGCACAGACCCTCTGACCCCTTGCTTCGCTCATGTGCTTCCTTCCCTCCTTCCTTTCTGTGTCACCCCTGACGTCCTCAAACCTCATTCATTTCTTCTTCTTTTTTTTAAACTTTTTATTGGAGTATAGTTGATTTACAATGTTGTGTTAGTTTCAGGTGTACAGCAAAGTGAATCAGTTATACATACACATATATCCACTCTTTTTTAGATTCTTTTCCCATATAGGTCATTACAGAGTATTGAGTGGAGTTCCCCATGCTATAGAGTAGGTCCTTATTAGTTATCTGTTTAATATATAGTAGTGTGTATATGTCAATCCCAATTTCCCAATTTATCCCTCCCCCTGCCCCTTACTCTCTGGGAACCATAAGTTTGTCAAAGCTCATTCATTTACTCCTCTTGCTTCAAGGGCAAAGCTTTACAACCCAAACAAATTGCAACACAACTAATTTTAATCAGGATAGTATAGCACTCTAATGACAAGCCAACACCAATATCTTAATTGGATCAGCAGAGCTGGGCACAGCCTGGTGACTGTATTTTATCATGGCCTACACTACCAAGAGTTTAATCGTGATTGATTTAGTTCTGAAAGAAAAAAAAATGATAAAGACCTTTTAGAAGACACCGCATTTCAGGAAGCAGTGTCAGCCTGGCTCTCAGGACCTC